TTAACCTGCAAATTCCTGAGGTCAAGCTTGAAGTATCAATTCTGAATAATAATAATAAAGATAAATGATAATGAAGTCCAAAGCCAAAAGCTAGTCCAAAACTTTCCATTGTATTTAACTGAGATAGGTACAGAAATATTCCTGTGAATGGGAGCCTTAGTATGTCATCTTCAGCCTACTGAAAGCATGAAAAGACTCATGACACTCATTGAATATTTTTGAAAAGCAATTCCTTGCAAAAAAAATAGGATTTAGGAAGTCCCATGTTACTAAAATTCAGTATTAGACTGTTATTATTTGACCAATTATATTTTTTGACAAATGACATATTTAAGGCTCAATATTGTCATGTACTATCAGAAGTAAAAATAGTTTTATTTTAATAAAAAAAGGGTTGATAACTTCCTCAGAACAGTATAAAACAGTAATCCTGTCAGGTCAGTCCATAATTAGACCTGAATCATGACATTATTGTTATACAAAGAACCATTTCAGATGTATTAAGAGGATTTCATTCAGTATTAATCACTGTTTTTCCTCTTCCTTCATCTTTAAATTTTTGGAGACAGTATGTTCAGGCAGATTTGGCTGTAAAGTAAATAATGGGAAAACAACAATGCAATTTTGTGTCTCCTAAAATATCCTCTGTGGCTTTTTTTTCTGTGAAACATGGCACAATCCTTGCGTGTGGAACTGCTGCACATAGGGCACACGTATTTTGTGCAAGACAGCATGTAACACTGTTAGCACCTGAAATGGCCTGAAATTTGGACAAAACACATCAATGGCTTTGAAAAGTGATATGAGATATTTCACAAATGCAACCAAGATATCTAACAAATGCAACAAGAACAACTTTGTTATACTGTCTGGTCCAAAAAGCAATGTTTTTAGCATATGTTGTTAATAGGAGCCTTAGCTGTGCTTAATCACTTCCCAAATAAGCTGTTTAAACATGAAGCATTAGGCTAGAAAGCTGAGCGCTTTTGCAGAGGACAGGGGTTAACAATTCACAGTACTAAACCCTGTTTGATCTGCTGAGAAATTCAATCCAGCAAAAGCACGATTTTACTTAATAGCGCGTTGGGCGAGGAAGTTGCCAGAGGTGGGATGTTTTCCTCCTGGCTGAGGTCAGGCTGCTGGAGCTGGCCCATCTGCCATTACATGGAGTCCTGCCATCCCCCTTCCTCATGGTCCCGCTCCCTTTTGCTGTGTGTTTGCATGTGTGTGCGTGTGCATGTATTCATGTCTGAGCTCCTTTTTTCTGGCAGCTGCTGTAGGTAAGTTGTGGATGCATTTTTGGAAGTCTCCCAAGGCACAGACACTCCCAGCCCACAAGAAGGTGCCTCATTCTCCAGGTGGAGGCTACCAGGCTGAGATATGTACCATTAATGACTGAAGAGAAGCAGAGTTTTTCCCTAGCGTGCCAATGCATGGATACATTCACTGCTGTGGGTGTCTCTGAGGGCTGCCTGTCAAAGCCAAGAACACAAGGGAGCCGTACAGGTTTTGTTCCTCTTGTGCACATCCTGCATGTGGCAGATTCACTGTGTGCTTCCTTGCAATGTGCTAGAGCCGGGTCTTAGAGAAGGATGGAAAATTTGTCAAAACGTTGCCACTTTAACAGAAAGCTGGGCGAGTTCCCTTGCTTTTAATAGAACGTACCTTTCTTTTACTGCTGTTAATGCAGAAAGCAGCTGATCGTATTCTGTGGGGCTCACATTATTTTTATAGTACTTCGTCTTTGGAATAAACCAGAGCATATTGCATGTCAAGAGTGGTAAGGATTTTATGGAGGAAGACAGGCCATGGATTTCCATGGATGCTCTTCACTTCCTCTAGACCTCTGAGAGAAGTTGAGTGCTATCCTGTGCCATCAGAGACATAGGAACTCCTTAAAAATAGAAAGGATTGCCATTTGTCACTTTAAAGTGCATTCAACATGCACTTGCCTATTTGGGTTGTTAGAGCATTTCGTCATGCACTTGTGCAACACCTCGCCCTAATCCACAATTTCAGCTCTTTGCCTCTGCTGTAATACAGTGATGATAAATTAATGTCTGGCTTGGCAATATTGCTACAGTCTCCAATTATGAGAAGGTGTTTTCATTTAGAGAAGAGAAATCAAATGGCAGATCCCATTGTCTCTCACCCTTCCTGTCCATGAACAAGCTAGTCCTTGTTGTAAACCCCATGTAACTTGCTGTGGGGGAGGAGGCATTGTGGAAGCCCCCTGCCTTTAAAATAAAGGTAGTGCTTCAGTAGTTATTTCTTGGGGATCTTTTCTAGTAGAGTTAACTGTTTCAAAAGGAGAAGGAAAGGGTTCCTTGAAAACCAAATACAAAGGTTTCACAAGTAACAAGAACCAGAGCAGGCAGAGGTGAAATGCATTGCAAACGTGATGCTTCTCCCAAACCCAAAATCACCAGCACAGAAGTAACAATAGGTTGTTGTTCACCCTCCAAAGTCTGGGACTGTCTCCATACGTGATGCAGAGTGGACAGCCAGAATCCCTGGATAACCAGCTTCTTCAGCTGTGCTCTCACAAGGCAAACACTGCTGCCTCGAGCTGGTCAGCTTGAGCTCACATAACACCCTGGCTGAGACCAAGAAGATGACTGGCATTGCTCAGAAGTACAGTACCAAGAATAAACATCCATGGAGCCATGGAGCCCCTGCTCTCCAGTGCTGCTCTCAAGGGCTCACTGAGTTTCCTGGAGACATGAAAATCAACTGCCAAGTAGCACTCCTGGCCTACTGGAGTGGTTGCATTGGTACGCTCTCCCAGAAAGGACCACCTGCTACCTTTAGGCTGGGGAAGTTTCTAGGCATGTGTTTCTGTCCACGCTACAAAGAGCCATAGAAATCTGTTGCAGGCAAGGGTTAGTAATGTTGTTTCCTTGGTTTTCATGTCATACATATGTCATGATACGGTCATGAATGCATACACTGATTTTGTTCAACGCCCTCACAACCTTAGAGAGAGTGAAGGCAGGGAGCCTTTGCAAGCAGCATTATTTGACATCTGCAAGCCTGTGGATAAAGGCAGAGAGCTGGGAGAGATGAAAGGGGTCCCCCATCATGTATAGAAACTACTAAGTTATAGACAGCAGAGGGATAGCCAAGACAGCAGGATGCGCAGAGTGCTTACACATGAGTGGAGGAGTGAAGACAGCATGGGTAGCCATACCTCCTCTTTATATCTCCCAGCTGCTCTTTCCTGCAGCTCCTTGGGCAAGCTCAGCTCACAGACCATGAAGTCTGCATGACAGAACAGCAGCTGGGAGATATAAAGGCAGGGATTTGAATGCAGTGTGTATTTTAAAACATGAAAACACTGCAAAAGAGCCCAACCCCTCCTCATCCTTTCCCCTGCCCAGACTACCCTCAGTACCATTAATCTCAAGGAAAAACTAGATTGGCCTTTGAGCTAGGGCTTTCCTCTCTGATTACAGTGTTTGGACTAAGTAGTGCCGGCTAAGCCCCAGATGCTAGAGCTGTGCATTAGAGGCACTTCCAGCCCCAGCTGGAGGATGCTATGTTAAGGGACTGCCACCTGGCAGCATCTTCAAGGAACTGCAAAAATGTTAAGCAGAGATGGAGGTTAGTGAGCATCAGCCTTCTGGGAGACTTGCAGGTGCACTCAGGAAGGAGACATCAGGGTTGAGCTAGACTGGTGTTGCCGACTAAACTACCTGGCATTAAGAGGCTGCTTCTGTGATAAAAGACAGTAGGCCGGTGAAACATTTGATACGACAACCACCTTATCAGGGACTTTCCCACTCAGTTGAAAAGTTGGTTTTCCTTTGAGAAAAATCCCACTGTTTTCCTTCTCTTACTTCAAGTTGGCTGAAGAAGCCTGACCTAGTTGTACTCAGTCATTGCCCCTTTTTAGCTAAGAGCTAAGCTCTTGCTTTGTGAAGATACACCCAGGGAGGCAGGTCCCACCCTGTCCCCATTCTCCTGGGAAAGCAGGGAAGACTGGAAGTGACAACTTTACTGAAGAGTGGCGTAGGATGAAAAGAACAATAAAATAATCTCCCTTGGCCAAGACCTGGTAACCCAACTTCTTTCATTTTGAGGTCTTCAATACGGTCCCCTTGCTTGTGTGACCTTTTCCTTTTTTCTGTGTTGTGACAAGCTGGCAGATGAAACAAGAGCATCTCCTCAACACGTGCTCTGGATTTTCCCCCCAAATAAGTCTCTTGGCCAGCTTGCCTAAAGCTTTCTAAACCACCCAACTTTGAAAGGGAGGACACAGCAAGCAGTAAGTCATTTCTCTAACATTTCAGAAGACTTCAGTTCCCCTACCCTTTGGAAAGTGTCCTCTGCTGCCCAATATCACAGGAAACAAACTTCCAAACTTTTGTTTGTAAACAGAGACCTGCATGAACAAGACAAATCTGAGACTTGGCTGAGCCTGAGAGGCTTTTGCCAATAGCCACTATGATTAGCAGGTTAAGGACCCTTGACCAGCAAATGAACTCCAGTCATTACTATTGGTAGTAGTAAGCTTGGGTTATCTTTTTGTAATTTATGTACAAATTTACATCCAGAGAAAAGCTCAAAAGAGACTGGGAGCTGGAGAGATTGAGTCCCTTTTCACTTTTAGAGCCAGTACAAACAGTAAGCTAAGGTCCTGAACCACATCACTAACACACCTTCAGCTGTGATGGTGTCCTTCTTAGGACCATTGGTAGATGTGACAGCTCAGCTAAGCCTGCTGAGCCAAGAATGCTCTATGTGTGCTCATATACTGAGACTATAAAGAAATTTGCCAATGAGTGCCAAATGAACTTTTTTTTCAAGAAAGAAATGAGAAAAGCTTACTCTGCCATTTACACAAGTCACTGGACAGACACCGACCTGGGGCCAGAGTTGGTGACCTAGATGTGAAAATATCTGTGTACATCCTTGCAGATGCCCCGTGCTTCCCACATCCCTCTCATCCCCCAAACTTTGTGGAGCTGAATTCAGCAGGGAGGACCATGATGACTTACCAGTCCGTGTGCGCGTCATCGATCACCAGGAGGATCTTGGGTTTCTGGGCCACAGGTGGTGTGGGGCTCGCTGAGTGGTCGATTAGTCCTGCGGCCGCTTGTGTGGTTTGCTTCATGGCACTGGAGATGGAGCTGAAGATGCTGGTGCCAGTAGAGGAAGAGTGTGAGGGCTGTGGTGGCTGAGGATGCTTTCTCTCCATGGCAGGAGAAACTGGGGAGCTCGTGGAGTTGTCGGGGCGCTGCAAGTCCATCATGTAGCCATTGGGCAAATTTGCCACGAAACTACTGTCTGAGAGACGTCTCCGGAGGAAATTCATTGTTGAAGCGTTGTGTGGAAACCTTCTCAGCAAGAGCGAGGCTGAACAATGGTGTCACCAGTCCTGGGGAATGTTTCTGTGTGCGTGTAGGGTACCTCCTTGCAGTCCAGGCAGGCAGGCTTTCTCCCTTGAAATCCTGCTAGAGAAATATGCCTTTGTTTTTCAGCTATATTTTCTTTCTCTCCTGTGGGAAGAGAATCAAAGACATATATGTGAGATACATACTCTGAGTCTGAGATAAGAAAAACTCTTCTGGCCATTTAAATGGGTACCTTAATCAACAATGAGAGGAAAAAAGACTGCTGGTTTCTATGCAGTATGCTACACTGGTACAGCCAAACAGATAGAGGACAAAATACGTTTCATGGCTCTCTCTCATCTCAAAACATTTTCAAGTTGGGGCAGACCAGCTTACACTAGCTTAGGGGCTAACAATTCTATAACTGTTCACTGTAGGGAAAGAAAAATTATTCTAACCATAAATGTTAATTTTCAAAGGAGAGACAGCTTATTTCTGTTATTATGTGTGTTAGAAATAACATGGTTTTTACAGAATAACCAGTAAATGATCCAACAGGTTAAAAAGTTGTATCACCTTTGGCAGGCTTGTAAGCAAGGCTCTGCATTTAAGGAACAAATGCCCTAAATTGAAATAGCATGTAGAAAATAAATAGTGGAAAAATCCCCATACACATCTTGATCAAGTTCAAACTACTCATTTCTGTCCCTGCTGCTCTCGGCACTCAAAATTAGACTGTGAGCCAGGTGCATACTGGTGGTTGCTAGACATCGCAGACTATCTGATTTTACAAGTTCACTCGTAGGGTTTTTGCAGGTACTCAAAACTGGAAGTTCGGCTGCCTAATCCTCACATACCTTTTTTTTTGCTGTTGTTGGGTTTTTTGTTTTGTTTTGTTTTGTTTTAAGAAGAAAGGTCTCTTACTCTGCTCATCTTTTCCAGTGAGGAAATGAACACTGTGAAATGTAACTATCTGGCTCTTTTCCCTTGACCATAGTATGATGACTTTGTTTTTACCCAGAACACTAAATTTTTCAGCAGTTAAATAATCTCACAGAGTTAGTAGTTACTTTTTTTTTTTTGTATGATGACTTTGTTTTTACCCAGAACACTAAGTTTTTCAGCAGTTAAATAATCCCCAGAGGTTAGTAGTTCTTTTTTTTTTTTAATTTTGCACCTGTAGGCACAGCCCAGAAATGAGATTTCCACAGTAATTCCCCAAGACCTTTTATCCGCTGAGTAAGCCTTTGAGTCTTGACCAGAGGCTGGTCGGTGAGATTTTTTTTGGGAAAAAAAAAGATAGAAACATATTGCTGGTAAAACATAAATGTTTTTCAAGACAGACATATCTGCAGCAACGAAAGTGAGAGTTATCCCATACATCAGGTTAGATGAGTCACATGAATTCCTGGTATCATCATTAAATCATGCCCCAACCCCCTTCAAGTCTTTTTGAATGAGTCCCCTACAAATACTGGGGCTCCTTGCTCTGACCTGCCTGGTTTGACCTCCCTCACTGCTCACGCTCTTGTCCCAGTCTCTGATTGCCTCCTGATGGCAGGAAATTGTCTTTGCCTAGTTGGTCCAAGAGAGCTCGGCGTCTGTGAATCTGCCTCCTGAGGCTGTGGCTGAGAGCTCATGGAGCAACCAAACAGCTTTCTTAAAATAAGATGTCACTTATTTTCACCTATAGGGATTTACAAATCTTTAGAGACGAAGGATTCAGACCTCTCTATGTCTGTACCTCTCTTAGCCCCCAGAGTCTTAGGGAGGCTCAGATGAGCCTGGCTGGAGCAAGTGAGCTACAAAGAGCCCCTTGGCACGTCCCCCAAATCTCGTCATCCATCACCACCCCAACCCCCTGGGCACAGGATTTGTCTGGAGCAGAGGACTCCCTGCTGAAGCTGCTGACATCAGCTTATTAGAGCAATTTTTCTTCTGATTTCTCAGCCCTGGCAGTACAAGTCCTCTGACTTTGCTGGAGCCTGGAGGTAGTCTTTTCCCAGGGAATAGCTCAGGAAATCTTTAATGACTTCCTGCCACATTTACAATTGATAACATATCTTGAGGCATTGTGCTGACTTCCCGCCCGGTCCTGGCACGCCCGGTGACTGCACAACATCAGCAAACGCATGCACAGGTCAGTGCTTCGGTAGCACCGACTGTTTATGCAGCACTTGTTCCAAAAAGCAGGTAACATATAGCATCCATGAATTATGAGCTACCTACTCACCTCATATATACACCCACACAACACTTGGCCTACTCATGTCCTACTGCAGTACCTGTCAGTGCCAGCACAGAGCCATCCACTGTTACCTGTCCGGGATGACCAAAGTGGTAGAGCCTACAAAGACTTTGGGGGGTTTATATACTACAGGCTGGGTAAAAATGAGCTGCGCTGTCCTCGGCTCAGGAACCTGTGTTTTCTACCTTGCATAACAGAAATAAGAAAAATCCCGTCACTTTAATGACAGTCCACTCAAGAGTAGGTCTGGTCCTGGTTAAGAGGAACATCCCAGAGATCTGTCTACTGTCAGAAGGGCTGCAAATGACTATCCCGTTACTATGTACAGCAATTAGGCGTGCTCTCTTGGAAGACCTTGGCGTTAACTGGCAAGAGATGGGATGTAATTTCGATACCAGTCTCAGGAGAAGTGGTTTTAGCACGAGACGCCTGTCCCTTGCACGCTTTGCACAGCATCGCAGAGCTGCTGGTTCCTGCTGTGGCAGCTCTCAGCCACAGGAGGGAACCTGACCCCAGCCATACAGGCTGGACAAGGCTTTTTTCACAAGCCAGTATCCTTGGGACAGGGTCCAGCAGGACCTGCATGGTCTTGAAAGTGTTTCTCCCCCACTGCCAAGCGCTTGCATGGCTGCTTCCTCCTCTGCGAGATTTGCACTCTCCAAAAGAACATGGGCTCCTTGCAAAGCATCAGCAAGTAAAGCAACAGGCAAATGTCTCTGCTCTGCCCTGCACTGTTGAAGATGGGCGCAGAGGCATGTGGCGTAGGGTGTCCCAGGGCTGGGAAGGGCCAGAGTACCCTGTGATGCACCTGGAAGGCACGCAGGTTTCCTCCGCAACAGGGCTTCCCAAATTGTGCCCTTCAGTGTACTGCGTACGCCAGAGCCACAGGTAGGAGAGCTGCTGGCTCTACACCACCAAGTTGTACCTTGCCTCTGTGCACACCAGAGGCTCCCTATGGCTCACATGGAGACACGCCACCTACTTAATGCTGTGCCAGGCACGAACCTGCCCATAGGAAGGCCTGTAGCCCCCTGCACAGCTGAAATACAACCCACGGGCTGCTTGCAGGAGAGGCAGCAGCTTGAGTACAGTAACTGCCTCCCACCACACAGGAGTAATCTGCTGTTGTGTGAAACAGCTGCTCCCGAAAGCTGGCTGGGAAAACAGTGGGCATCTGGGCTGTAGAGTTGCAGGTCAGGGATCTGGGCTGTATTTCAGGAAGAGGAAATAATAAACAAGGCGTAGGAGAATGAGTGAGTCCTGAGGAAAGAACGCAGGCAGGAGAGAGGGGGAGAGGAGAAGGAGAAGGCACAAGCAGAAAGGGAGGAAATAAGTGGCAATCGGCTTAACCAAAAGACAATGCAGGAACATGCGGAAATCCCAACAATGAGAGCACAGTCAGGGAATCAAAAGGAAACAATGTGAGCAACTAAATGAAGCAAGAGCAAGGTCAATTAGAGCTGACCTTGAAAACAGCAGCAAAGAGGCTGGCACCATCAGCCCCTTACTAATATGCAGTTAAACTTCCTGGCTGATATTTTCGGAAGGGCAAGGGAGGGTAAGCAATCTGCTCCCTCAGCACGTTGACAGCAGCCAGGCACCTACCTGCTTTTTCTCAAGGATATACTCTGCAGAGATGCAAGTTATCTCAGAAAACTTGTTGACATGTTTTAAAAAACAAGAACAAAACGTTCACTTAAACCTCTTGCTGGGTTACTTTCTAATGTGCGGTAGCATCCAGAGGGAACAAAACTCAATTGGCTGATATCTGTTAACTGTGCTTAGATTTCCCCCAAGCTTGTTATCTATGCTGTCAGGTAATGAACTGACATGACCATGCCAACCTGCATTTGATTCCTGCTCTTGACAGCCTGAACGGAGCAATGCTGGGGGTGGCAAGATGGAAAGCCAACACGGATGTCAATAGTAGAGATTATCCTCCCACCTCGCCACCATAAGGGAGCTACACACTTACTTCTGCCCCATGATGGATGGAAAGATGAGGGGATGCTCCTCACCTGGTACTAATACCCCTCACATCCATTTTGTGGATAGCCATTCGCATACATTAGCATTTTAAGATATTCCCATGTGTCCCTTTCTGACTTCAGCCATATTGACACACTGTGGGAGTGGACTTCTGTGGAGGGACAGCCATGTTAGGAAGCTCCAAACCCAGCCAGATGGCTTTCCACATATATTTTCAAAAAGAGGAAAGCAAGAGATTTTTTTATTATTGTCAAGCTTTCAGTGTTTCACCCTTAATGGCTTCAACATTCCCAAGCTTGGCATAGCATAAGAATTGAATAAAGAATAAAATAATTAGTTCTGAAATTAATTAGAACTTTTGTCGGGTTTTTTACCTCACTTGCTACAGTTTTGGACTCAAGAGGCTCACGTGTTCAAACATTTCTTGGTATTTTTCAATGCAAGCTGATATTCCATAAATCAGGAAATTAAAACAACAGGGGTTAGAAAAAGAAAAGGAAAAGAATACCCTACCAAAAACCCCACATTTTTTATATGTGAAGCATATACAAAAACTGTAAGGGTTGGAAAGACTGTATGCTGTCCTGAAGAACAGAGGAAAGCAGAGAGTTTCCATGCTGGTCTTCAGTTTGCAGAGAGCTTTCCCAAGCATCAGCAATGCAATACAGCTCTAATGTAGACACTGGTGGAAATTTTCCAAAACATGTAAAACTACAGCACAGGTTCCAACTGAAATGAGAGGGG